AAGAATATGAGTCTGTACATTGTTACTGAAAATGTCGCACTTACACGTTATTACACGTTACTCATGATAATTAATTCGATCATCAGCAAAGTAACATGCTACAGTAACATTCTCCATCAGAGGTAACTTACTTAATGCACATACACAACTATTAAACTTCTGCACTCACATGTCACAGTGTAGAAACAGAAAAACAGACACTGAGTAATTGCTTACACTTCTTACTGAATCAGTGATCACATTACTGTAACATGTTACTGCCAAACCCTGGTTGTAATTATCCCTGCCCCCAACACACTCACATACACACAGAGGAAAATCCTTCAAGGTGGTTCGTTTATAGAAGATCATTTAAAGTACCTAATCGTTTGTAATTGAAGTCTCTTTCTTTCTCTGTCTCTGTTTCTTTCTCCCTCACTAGTACGACTCCATGACAGCATCTCAGAGGAAGGCTTCCATTACCTCGTCTTTGACCTGTAAGTAAATCACATTAACACACACACTCAGAGGTCACAAGTTCAGGCTGGAGTGTTGCTCCAGGATGAACTGCTTCACCTAAGTAATCAATGAGTCTATGACTGTCACCATTCACAACCATTCAAATCAGTCTTGTCGAGGCTTGTATTATCAGCAACCAGTCAAGTGGCCTCTAAAAGCAGCAGTTAGAGTTACACATACAGGTTACCACAGAACATGTTGGATCTAGAAGGACGCATCAACATAAATCAATATCCCTCCTCAAAAACCTTTAGCTATCATACCACAGTGGAAGTTAAGACCAAATGAGAGATCAAAATAACCAAGTTTGTTCTTTAGAAAAGCCATTGGAAGGTATTGTCATGACATCGTCTGCAGTGTGTATTTTTCCATTTGTCACAGGGATCTTCATTTGTCTCTTTGACAGAAAAGAGAAATAACCAAGTTTCTATTTTGTTTCTGCCTGCAGTGTCACTGGAGGAGAGCTGTTTGAGGACATTGTTGCCAGAGAGTATTACAGCGAGGCAGATGCCAGGTACACTATATCATCATGCTAACATGTAAACACATTATATAGTGCATGTTGTGTTGATAGTAGTAGTCCATTTTCCTGTGTATTAAGTTGTTAAAGGTGGCCAAAGTAAAATTTCAGTCTGCCATAGCAGTTAAGTTAAAAGCACAAAATGTTTTGCCATTTGAATCTGCATTAATGTACTTGGTGCTTTCTGGCAGTTCTCTGAGGTTGTTTTCAGTACACGATACACACTTTATTTTTGACCATGTGACTCAGGGCTTTTAAATTGAATTCCATTAATAAATAATGATAAAGCTGTCTTAAGTTTTTAAACCTTATTTTTCGCCTGTTGTCAGGAGTTGCTTTTGGGTTTTTTTTTAACCTGCGTGGATTATGCAGGCTAAACTTTCTCTAATGCTCTGGCAGATTTTTGTGAGTCATTTGAGTAACACAGTAAATTAGTTTATTGACTTGAACATGATCTGCATGATCAAATAAAAACATTGGATCCAAACATGATTGCATATGCAAAACAAATCTGTTAACACATTCATAAAATAAAATTGCTCAACAACAAAGTCATGATCCCGCATTTTCAGGCAATTATGTTGTGTAACTAAGACTTTCTTGTCTGTGCCTATAAACATTGAACTAAGAACATTCGAGTGGTGGCAGAGTCAATCTCTCACTAAAGCCTGTATTGATGGAAGCCCTCCCTCTAATAAACAGGTCAAGTTGGGTGTGGAAGTTTTCTCTCCAAGCAAAGCTTTTACCCCGGCCATGTAGAGGGTCTCAATGGATTTTAGAGATACCTTAAGCCAAACCTCACGTCCGTACAAGAGAAGGCAGCTTCAGACACTTTCTTTTTTACACTAATGGGCATCATACACATGGTTGAACAGAGTAGAAGCCTGGGTACCCAAAACTTTCATGTTTTCTCTGCCAAAGCCCAGAGAGCCACCACCTCTGACACACCATGACAACCTCCTCCTTGAGTTGTTTTTCTGCATGTCCTTTTACAATCTACCAAAAACACATCTTGTGATTGACCATGACAGAAGGAAATTGTGTGTTATTATGCCCATCATATAGACGTGGCACGGGCGCCCGGTTAGCTCAGTTGGTAGAGCTGGTGACCCACGTACCAAGGCTGAGTCCTTGCTGCAGGGTTCGAGTCCGACCTGCAGCCCTTTGCGGCGTGTCATCCCCTCTCTCT